TGATTGGACGGTTTTTGAAATATTAGAAAAAAAAGTTATCTCGATAATAATTTGGCACGCAGTGTATATATATATATATATATATATATATATATATATATATATATATATATTGATATATATATATATATTTATATATATATATATATCTTAGAATATAATTATATATATATATATATATATATCAATACATTTATTCTAATTGTAAAAAATATTGGAAAATATATAAATAAAGAGAATAATAAAGAAAACCATTTTATTTTGTTATTATATTTTATAAAATATATATATTAAATATCAATATAATTTAATATATATATATATATATATATATATATATAATATATATATATATATATATAAATAATAAAAAAATAAATATATATATATATATATATATATATATATATATATATAAATATTTATTTATATGGAAAAATTTTAGAACACGAAATAAGAACAAATTCAGTTTTTTTTCTCAACAAAATAAAAAAACTAGAAATCATATATACAAAAGGAAAAATATAAAAAATTCATTTAAAAAAAAAAAAAATTTTAAATGAAAAATTACATCCAAAAGTTATTTTCAATGATATAAATTGTTATTAAATCATTTTATTATTATATATTCTTTATATAATATGTGTTGGATTGATAAATATTTATTCAATTTAAAATAATAAATGGGGAAAATTTTAAATAATTTTTTTTTTTATACAATTCAATTTTAAAACAATTTATCCAGGGAAATGTGAAATTATAAAAAAAATTTATAAATTGAAGAGAAAAACATTTATAAAACTAAAAAAAATTCAAATAATTTATTGATATTTTCATCTTTCCATTTTTTGAAAAAAGAAAATAAGATTATATAAATTTCCAAATCATTTTAAATAGATAATTATAAAATATATATATATATATATATATATATATATATATAAATGGCAGGTTTTAAATAAGTAAAAATGAAAAACAAAACACATCTAAATGAAAAATTTTTATAAAAATTTATATATTTTTATAATATAAAATATATAAATATATTTATATACATACAAATCTTCAGTTGACAAATAAAATATTACTTTTTATCATATATATTATATTTTTAATATATATATATATATATATATATATATTATAAAAAAAAATTTTATGGATCAAAAGATGGAAGTTTAACAACTGATTTTATTTTTTTTTTTCAAAATTATATAACTGTTTGAAATTGAAAACAAGTATTTTTAAAAATTTATATTTATAATAAATTTTATTAAATAATTTTTACTGTAAAAAAAAAATTTCAACAAAATTTGATTTAATAAAATTCAAAAAAGATATCATAAAAAAAACAGATTCAATTCATTTTTTATATATATATATATTTATATATATATATATATATATATATATATATATATATATATATATAAAATTTATATATCTATTTATGAAATTCAGACCAATATAATCGAAATTTATATATGTATGAATTATATTCTATAATTTGTCGGACAAAGAGCAAAATTCAATTACATTTGATAAAATATATATTTATTTAATGAAACAGATCAATGAGAGATTGAAAATGAAATATCGGATTTTAGAACTATTAAAATGATGTAAATTTAAAATAAATGGTTTTATACAGAATTATCATCAGGCAATAATAATATGAGTCCAAATGAATTATAGATTAAAAAAGACGAATACAAATTTTTGGGGAATAATTTCATGATTTTTTAAATTATGATTTTGCATTATATAAAAGGAAATTTTTTTTTTTAATTAATTCATTCTTTAGATCATATTTTTTTTCAGACGAAAACAATAATTTTTTATATTTTATTTTTTGATGAAAGAGAACATAGCTTTGTAATTGAAAATTATATAAAAAAATAAATAAATGACTTTATATCTAAAAAATAAATTTAAAATAAAAAATAGAATCAATATATATATATATATATATAAATATATATATATATATAAGAAAGATAAATAGAAAATGAATATTCCATAATATATAATTAGAATGAGTTTCTGACCCTGAATTTCCTTTTTTTTGTCAAAACAAACTTATTAATTTTTTAAATTTTGAGGTTAAATATAAATTATTTATAGTAAATAATATAAAATAAAAATAGAAATTTCAGACAAAATTATATATAAAAAAATCAAATAATAATCACTATATACTACGAATATGCAACCTTAAAAAAAATAAAAATTTTAAAAAATTAATTTGTTCGTTCTGAAAAATTGCAATTAAAATTTAAAAAACCAGGGTAATAAAAAAGTAGTTTCCATAAATATAAATAAATTTTTGTAAAATTTAATCATATATATATAAATAAAAAAATGAATATAATATAAAATATATATATATATATATATATATATATATATTTATAAATTTTTTAATTTATACATATATTTTATATTTTCAAAATCACACAATATATATATATATATATATTGATATAGATAATTTGATTTTTATTATCATAGATAGATAGATAGATAGATAAATAGAATAGATAGAACAATAGATATTTTTTGATATTCGGAACAGATGAATTGAATTTCATGGATAAAAAAAAAAATATAGATTTTATGATTATTCATTTAAGATAGATAGATAAATAGATGTAAATAGAAGATAGATAAATAAATAAAACAATAAAATAAAAATAGATAGATATGATAATAAATGAATATTTATATATATGGTTATAAATCAATAGATGGATAACATTTGAATAAAAATAGAAAAACATGTTCTTATTCAAAAAGTTATTTATTATAAGAAGATATACAATAAATATTTAAAGATTATAAATAAATATATATTAAATATGTCAATGAAAACATTTAAACACAACACATATAGATAGATTTTAGATATAATAAATGATAGATATAAAAAAATTAAAATTTAATTAAATATAAATAAAAAAATATAAATAGTCTATAATATTTAAATAATTTTTTAGAAAATAAAATTATTGATTAAAATCTAATATCAAAAGACAGAGAATGAAAAAAAAATTATTTTTTGGAAAATTTGATTACGAAAAGAATGAATATGCATTAAGAAGGCTTATTCCGTTTTATGCAAAAATAACCATCGTAAAGATGATAATATAAATAAATTTTTTATTAAATATATATCAATTTAAATAATTTCTAATGCAATAAAAATTAAATTCAATATCCATTAAATATTTTTTTTTAGGGATATATATGCATAAAGCATTTGTAAAAAATGCCTTTACTTTTCAAAGGTTGTTGTATAAATGACACATGTAAATAAATATTAAAAACAAAAGTGCTAATATAATCACTTTCTTATCCATTATAAAAATTTTTTTTTTGCAATTTTATGATATTTAAAAAAAAATATAAATAAATTTGAACAAAAGAAAAAAATTGATCAAATAAAATGTAGACACAAAAAAAAATAAAGATGCAAAATTTTTTGGGCTTTTTGATTACAATAGATTTAAAAATGGATTTTTGTTTATTAATATTAATTTTAAAAACATAAAAAATTTTAAATATAAATTAAAACATATTTTTATCTTATATTATGGATTTTCCGTCATTTTATATAATAGCTATTGAAAAAGAATTTGACAACAGCACAATTTTATTATCTGGTTGAATTTCAGAATTGTACCAAACGAATACAGATTTTTGCACTTCTTTTAAAAAGGTCCCCAAACGACCTCCACTGGTTTTGAATTCAGAGTTTTTTCAATAATCAGTTTTAAATATCAAAAGTCTACTATAAAAAAATAGATTTCTTGTCCAAGAAATGATATGCATATATATATTATATATAAAAATATATATTTGATTTTGAAATCGATAAGAAAATTTTTTTTTAATTGCCTTAAAATTTTCATATAAAATCAAACTAGATCCGCGATATGCTAACAATCATTTAATATTAAAAGTAAAATTTATATGGAGCTTTAGTAACAAATGCCACCCTTATATAAATAAATTTTGTCCTTAAATAGAATCCAAATTTCAAAAAAAAAAAAAAAAAAAAAAAAAATCAATATTTGATTGTATATATATGCAACAACAAAATGTACCTGATTATTTTAAAAGTTTATTAGATAATCAAAAAAAAAAAATATTATATATATATATATATATATATGATATATATATATATATATTATATATATGTATATATATAAATAAAAAAATGTATGTTTATGTCATAATAATGTGTATTGTGTGAATATTTAATGTTTAGGCAAACAATCCTTCTTTCATATAATTTCAATTAAATACGACAGATTTAAATTTTATTTAGTTTTTTAAAAATTTCTCAGTGATCATTTAAAATTGGGTTTTCAATTTTATATATATATATCATATATCTATTATTATCTATTTATTAAATATATATAATATATATATATATATATATATATATATATATATATAAGGACATATAAATAGTTAATATCTTGATATATATATAGATAGAATTTTAGATAATATGCTTTAATAAGTATCTATATATTATATATTATAGATAGATATTTTTTATTTTAAATCAGATACAAGATTGAATAGATAAATATATAGAATTAAATAGATAGAGATAGATACGAACAGAGATAGATAGATATTAGATAGATAGATAAACATAGATAAATGAATAAATGATATGAAAAATATTCTTACATATATATATATATATAGATATATAGATATATGATAGAATTGATAGAGCAGATAGATAGATAAATACATAGATAGATACATAGATAAAAAACAGACTGTGGATAGATAGATAGATAGATAGATATGAACAAACTGATTGTTTAAATTTGTATCATAAACAGAGAGTTGATTTAGATAGATTGATAGATATAATCGATAGATAGAAACAGACTGAGCTGAGGTAGCTACATAGATAGATCTTAGATAGATAGATAGATAGATAGACAGATATGATAAAAAAAACGATTGACTCATATAATAAATAGAGAGAGATAGAAAAGGTAAAAATAATTAGATAGATATATATGAAAATAGATGATAGATGAGATAGATAGATAGATAGATAGATAGATAGATACAGAAAGGTTTTGAGATAGATAGATAGATAGATAGATAATAGATATATAGATAGATAGATAGATATGAACAAAGATTGTTATTGTATCATAAACATAAAAAAATAGAAGATAGATGATAGATAGATTATAAATAGATAAAATACTTGCTATAATAAATAGATGATACAGATAGATAGATAGATAGAATAGATAATAGATGAGATATGAAAAACAGATTATTAGATAGATAATAAACAGAATAAACAGATAGGTAGAAACAGACTGAGATAGATAGATAGATAGATACATAGATAGATAGATAGATAGAAACAGGCTGAGATAGATAGATAGATAGATAGATAGATAGATAGATAGATAGATAGATATGAACAAACCGATTGTTACACTTGTATCATAAACAGAGAGTGATAGAGAGATAGATAGATAGATAGATAGATAGATAGATAGAAACAGACTGAGCTAGGTAGCTACATAGATAGATAGATAGATAGATAGATAGATAGATAGATATGAACAAACAGATTGTTACATTTGTATCATAGATAAACAGAGTGAGATAGATAGATAGATAGATAGATAGATAGATAGATAGATAGATTGTTTCACTTGTATCAAGTTTGTAATGTTCTTTTAATCTTGGCCTGGTAATATCAACAATAACAAAACACGTAATGTCCACGTAAATTTCTATATTTCTATGTGTCTTAACATAACAGGCGTCCGTCCACTGAAAGTCGCCATTACTTCTTCAATTATTTATCAGTACCTGATCAACTTTTACTGACAAAATATCGTTGGGGTGAACAAAGTGTGAAACACATCCGGTTTCTTTCCGCAGACATTTTTATTTGTTTTTTTTTGTTTTTTTGTTTTTTGTTTTTTTTTTTACATTATTTATTAAAACAAAATTCATTAAAACCTGATTTGCTCATGTACAGAAATATCATTTCTATCATTTTAATAAATTGGCATTTTAATTAAATCAGGGATTTTCGCAATCTTCTTTAGGGGAATATTTTGACCATTTCACCTTAAGCAAGGCAATAAAGCCACTAAGTAGCCAGAGTTTATAGTGGGTGAGAGAATAGCAGAAAAAGTAAACATTATTCAGGAGAGAGAATAAAAAAGAACAAGAATTAGGAAAACAGAAGATAGTGATTGACATTGCATTTAAATATTTGAAATTTATATGCAATGTCAATCATTTTCAAATGATTTCACATTTACATTTAAATTTTTTTAAAGTATTATCTATTTGTACATTATAAAACTGGAAGAATTTATCGAAAATATGTTATTTATATTATGAACGCAAAATAACAAACAATTTACTTTGCCAATTTTTCTCGATCTATCGTATATATTGTACCCTAACGTAAAAAATGGCAACATATTATATGAAATGGATCAAACCTGAAAAATATTTTAATATATTTTCTGTTTATACGTTTATTTATGGATACACTTATTTTAGCAATTACACAGTGTTAATTACATTTACCGTAGATATTCATAGAAAATAATACGTTCCCCAACAGGAATCGAAACTGTATCCTAAACGGAACAGTCATATAGCCTGATATGCTATGACTGTTCTGCTACAGTTTTCCTTTGCAGCAAAGTTAGAATTACCGCTTTTAAACAGACAACTTCATAAATATGATGGATCGAGCAAATTTCTGACCATAGCTCAATTAGATCTCATTTAAATATTCAATGTTTGTTGTCAATATAAATATGATAGCATCATCTACATGCAAAAAAAGGCTAAAAATAATGGAAGCCGTATTAATAAAAACAAAAAATCAATACTTAATACTTAATTTACTATGAACATGGACACAACATCTTGGCCATGTTTTGAAAAATTAAAACGTTTTATAAAACATACATGCAATAAACTATTTCTTATTTAACAGTTAAAATATTTAATCCTTGAAAACGACTAAATGTATAGCCGAAAGCGCTCGGATAAAAAGAACATTCGGCCAGTTTTTATATAATCTACCATCTGGAAAAAAAGATTATTCTCGCATGAGAAATTTTATAAAAAACTAACTAAAAGCACCTTGTATGTCGTATTTAATAAAATGTGCCCACACACACACACACATATAGATAGATAGATAGATGATAGATAGATAGATAGATAGATAGATAGATAGATAGATAGATAATGAAAAGTTTGGTAATCCGTACGGATAATCCTAAGGAGAAAGTAATCCAGAGAGCTTAATGTCAAACCAGAGCAATTATTATTTCAATTTAATTACAAAACAGACTTCATTAAGGGTCCATTGATTATAATTTATTTTTTTAAATGCTTAAGTTAATGTCAAACATTAACTGCCAAATATATAAATCCCTGTTTTTTTTTTCAAATTAACTGTAATATGCCCATATATATTAATTTATTCTTCCTTTTCCTTTTCTTGTACCTTTTATTCTTTGCACACTCTCTATGTCCCTTTCTTTCCTCATACCCCTGCTTCCACATCTGCTTTCTCATATCTTTACTCCTCTTTTTCCTCTTTATCCCGTTTCCTGTGAAATGACTTATTAAATAGGGAAATGTCGGGTCCTTACGCCCCACTCTTACTCTTAATTATCTTAATAAAAATAGATTTTAAATTATTCCTATCTCTCCTTTCACTCTCTAATTTCGACCATGTCTGTCATACTCCGCCTTAGAGAAAGATGCCGTTCAAAAGCAGAGTAAAATATTAAGGAACAGGAAAAACCAAGAAAAGTGTCCTAGATTGTACTGTGATATCAATCCTCTTGTATGGCAGTGAATGTTGGAATATCTCGCCACGAATGAAGAGGAAACTACAGGAGGCAACAGAAAGCTAACCAAAGAGAGAAACGCTGATAAGGTTACCGAGAGATAGGAAATTGTGGAGAGCCCTAATCGCCCGCATTCGGAGGAGTCACGGTATGTAGAAGAAGACTGGAATTAGACATTTCCCATATCTGAGTAATTTTGGCTAACACCAAAGACCATTTCCAGAGATAAGTTTTCCGTTTGTCTTTATTCATATTCTCTTTTTACTAATATCAAATTTTACACATTTTTCCCCATCTCCAGATAACAGAAATTTGCAGGCGGACACACACATAAACTCTTATATATATATATATATATATATATATATATATAGAGAGAGAGAGAGAGAGAGAATAAATATATATATATATATATATAAGCGAATAATTTAAATATATTACAGTAAAACTGTCTATCTCTATATATATATAGATATAACAATATAAATATATATATATATATATATATATATATATATATATAGGGGTGTATGTATTTATATTCGCATGTGAATTTATATGTGTGTGTGTGCGCTTAGGTGCAAATAAACACATTAAAATATTTTCCTAAGTATAGACAAAAAATTTCATAAATCAAATCTTTAAATTAGATAAATACAATTTAATTATTTTAATAAATTGAAAAATTAAATTGTGAAGTCATCAAATTATGAAAACTAAATGACTTAACTGTAAATATATTTATCTATTTTGTGAAATATCGAAGATGTAGATAGATAGATAGATAGATAGATAGATAGATAGATGGAAGAAAGAGTTCCTTAGAGCAACAAAGATAAAAGCTTTTATAAAGCAGAGCAATGGTCGCCCAGGCTGAAAAAAGACATACTGCGAATATTTAGAGGAAGAGAGAGACAGAAATAAAAGACAGATATGCATGGACTGAGATAGATAGATAAATGATATGATAGATATGATAGATAGATATGAATAGATAGATAGATAAAGAAGAAAAAAGATACCATGAGACAGATCGATTAACAGATAGATAAAGATAGATAGATAGATAACGAACAGTCTCAGATAAATGTATATATGCGAAAAGACAGATAGATAGATAGATAGATAGATAGATAGATAGATATGAACAGTTTCAGATAGATAGATAGATAGATAGATAGATAGATAGATATAAACAGACATAGACGATAGCGAGATAAAGATATATAGATAAATAGATAGATAAATAATGAACAGTCTCAGATAGAGGTATAAATATATATGTATATATATATATATATATATATATATATATATGTGTGTGTGTGTGTATGTGTTTATGAATCTGTATTTATATGTTTATATATATATGTATATATTTGCATGTATGTATGTATATGTATACGTCTGTGTATTTGTGTGTATATATATATATATATGTATATATTTTATTTTATTCACCTTCTTATGTTATGTGTAGGTTGATATATTTATATTTATTTCTATGTGTGTATATATATATATACGTTTATGTGTATATATAGATACATATATATTTATATATATATATATATATATATATATATATATATATATATATATATTTTTGTATTCAATATATGTAGTGAAGAAAAATGTAAACAGTATGTATGTATGTATTTTTTTTTTAAATTCTTATATATTTGTATATGTGTATGTGTACTAATGCGTATATATTTTTATATTGAATATATATATATATATATATATATATATATATATATATATATATATATATATATATATATATTTGTTTACACATTTTTTTTTTATATATTAGATAATGTTATTTTTTAATGTTATATTTTACCTGGACATTTCAATTTGGTATTTTTTTTGTGTGTCTATGCGTATATATTTATTTTTCTATTCATTTTATATATTTTAGTGTCTTTTTATATTTATATTATTCATTGATGAATATTTGTTTTTCTATTCTACCCATATTTTTTTTATCTATTCAACCATTTTTATCTATATATCTTTTGCCCGTATTTTATATTTTAATAGTATGTTTGAATTAGTTTACTAACACTTTCAAATTTGAATATTTCTTGGTGGGTAAATGTGCTTGTCTTTATCAATGTATGTGTGTATATGTGCGTGTCTTTATTAATGTATGTATGTATATGTGCGTGTCTTTATCAATTGTATGTTGTATAATTTATTTTTTCATTGTATGTATATTTTTTTTTTTTCCTAATCGTTGACAGCTTTTTTTTTTTTTTTTTGCGTGTTTATATATCTAAATATGTCTACGTGTTTGTATATTATAATCTGGTTGTGTATATATTGTCTTTTACAAGATTTCACCTACCACTTTCCCATATCTTCACTTCAAATGTATCTAAGTTGTAACAAATCTTAAAGGAACATTAGATTTTAACGTTTATTCTAAGTGAATCTTTGGCCTTTCAGTAAAAACAAAATAACTAATAAAACACATATTTTTTTCCTCAGTTTCTTCTTTAAATAATTTTATAATTTTTTAAACTTAATACAGATTAAATTTAAAATTTAAAATTGGTAATTTTTAATTTTGTATTATATAGTAAAATTTAATATCAATTAGAATGAATTCTATTTTAGTCTAACCCTAACATTAAAGCATTAAATAATTATTATAACCAAAGTTCGTTGTCAAGTTTTTTTGAATTCTCATATACTTGTAATTGGTCATACCAGCTTATGTAACAGCGTTTCCCCTTAGCGAGGGGTGTTTGATTAATTGAACCTTTTAAAACCCTTTATTATACATTCAACACCATCATTTGATAAGACACCAGAAGTGTTGAAACAAAATGGCTATTTTTGTAATGATTCTATAACATATCTATGTTATAATTTTCTAAAAAAATAAATATAGTTAAATATATATATATATATATATATCTACTTTTATTGATATCTTATAAATAGTATTTTTAGTTTATTAGAATTTATTCCGTATAAACCAATATATATAATATATATATATATATATATATATATATATATATATATATATATATATATATATATAATAAATTATGATGAGTATTAGGAACTGGAAAGTTCATCCTGATGATCCCATGTTTGTGAAAAAAAGGTAATTAGTATCTGGCTCATTAAAATTTATTTTTTTATAATTGCTCTTTATTTAGTGTATGAAATTCAACTCTTCATTTTTAATTTATATATATACTGATTTTTTTTTCTTTTGTTGAAAAATTTTATTTCGCCCTAAAAAAAAAGTTTCTGGTTCTTATTTTAAAAAATTTTTCCTCGGATGCCAATTTTTTAAAATTGTGCTATTCACTTTTTTCACCCACCGATTTTAAATATTTTATATTATATTATATATATATATATATATATATATATATATATATATATATTTGAAATGAACTCTTGTCGGTTTGATGATATGAGAAACTTTAATTAAATCTTAACCAATTGAAAGTTATGAAATTTCGTGCGATAATCTTAAGTGGAACTTAAGAAAAATAAAAGTGATTAAAAAAAGGAGGCCGCATATGGAGCAAAGTGAGGATTGTGGGAAGAGATCACTGTTAAATTGGTTGACCTTTTAGATCTTGCTCTCATATATATTCTAAAATAAATTCAGACTCCATATAAAAACACGTTGATCTCCATTCTACCCGCTCCATTTATTATATAAATGTATAAACATGTCTCATTAAATAATTTAGACAAGTGTTGCCTACTTATTTTCAGCAGGATCCTCTGATATTTACGGACAAGCATCTTTCTTAATATCCTTATTAAAGGAGGAAAGAAAGTTACTACGTTGATGCATATTCATTTTAAAATGTACTTTCGATGTTAAATGAAAATCGTCATCAATGTCTTGTTTTTTCTAACATAATATTTTTTGTGTGTTTATCTTTTTCCTAGGACAAAATTGCTGGGTTCATCTGAAGATTAAATCTTTTACTTTTGAAGCGAAAAAAGCAAAACACATTTACTGTACAAGTTTTAAATTTTATGATGTAAACAAACAAGTGCAGTAACATCAAGGGAGACAACTAAGTTATTTCGATATCTAATAGTTTTTAAAAAGAAATATGTAAAGTTATTATTTAAAACCTAGATAATTGTAAACTATCTACTGTCAACATTTTAAAATATTTGTGCAATATCCAAAATTAATTTTATTGAGGGTCGGTTTCAATTTTTAGTTCATATTTATTATTTTTCATGAAGAATTATAGATGTATTTTCAAACCAGAATTTCCTAAATTTCTTGAATGTGGAAGATATTATATGCATCATTCAAATGAAGACTCGACCTTTAAACAATATATATATATATATATATATATATATATATATACTGTTATATATTATATTATTTTGTTTTGTGTGTTTTTTTTTGTATGTTTATGTGTTTTGTGTATTGTGTGTGTGTGTGTAAATACTCTCTTTTCTAATAACTTAGACCGATTTAAAATGAATTAAGTTTAAGAATCTAATGAATTTTTTTTTTTTTTTCTTTCAGATTTAATTTTTAAGTCTTTAGCAATTTCAGCCAAGAAAGATTAACAATCAAACAACGTGTTGGAGTTATTAAAACCTATTACGAAAATGGACGTTCAAACAGAATTTGAAAGAGAAGTTCCCAAGTCGCATCATCTCTCGAAACAGCGAAATCA